CCCCCCCCCCCCCCCCCCCATGTTGCACTTGAATAATTATTTTATGAAAAAAGGTGGAAACAATGTTTCTGGTTTTTTTTTTATATTCCCAAAGTTTTTGTATAATTTCACATGAAGAAAAAATAACATATATATTTACTTAGTTGGCAGACTGCCAACAAGTTGTTTCTATTTTAAAAAGCACGGTATGGCATCTTCACATGTCACACAGTTGTGTGCTTGTCACACAGTTGTGTACTTTTTCCCTTTGTGCCATTGATTTGCATATTTGTAGCCATCAAAATAGCTGGTAGTTCTCAGACAGCCCCTCAGTCCTCAACACTGACTCCATACGTCTAATCATTCCCGTGTTACTTTTCTTTCCCTCCGCATCTTGATTTTAATCGTACCTCTCATTCTACCACCTTCTATTTGGCAGTGTGTGGGAAGCATGTAACCTTCGACCCAGAGAGGCTGGACGAGGCTCACTGGCCCTGGCTGGCAGCCATTTACCGCCACTCCAACAAGGGCACTGAAATGAAGGTGTCCAAGGCAAACAGCCAGGCAGGGTCTCTGAAGAAGAACGAAGGGACCAAAAGTGACATCCTAAATCAGGCTTCTGACTGGCAGCTGGTCTGCAGTGGGGCTCTGGTTAACCAAAAGAGTGTTGTGGTTGCAGCTCACTGTGTGACAGAACTAGACAAGGTGTATCCTGTGGATACAGCCACGATAAAGGTGGTGGTGGGGAAGCACTATCGCGATGACCACAGAGAAAAGAAAGGTCCTCAGCACCTGAGGGTAGGTTTTGATATCTTGCTTTTCTAATCGTCCTCCTTAAAGAAACTTAAGAGTGAGTTTGTGCCTTTCTTTCTCAGGTGACCTCTATTTCTGTGCATCCAAACTATGACCCCAATATTCTTGACTCTGACATCGCTGTGATCAAGTTACACGACAAGGCAAGAGTTGGAGATAAAGTCCTGCCACTCTGTTTGCCAGAGAGTCAAGAAGAAGATACATCTGGTCATGGACTTGTGACAGGCTGGTCTCCACTGCCTGATTCCAGTTTAGGTACTGATGAAAAAGCAAGGGTTGGGCTGGTCCACCTTGCTGATATCGTCCCGTGTGAGCAGCAATATGCTCGTAATGGTGTGCCAGTCAGTGTTACAGACAATATGCTTTGTGCAAGCCAAAAGCCCAATTACAAACCATCTAACATTTGTCCCTCTGACACCGGGGGGATCCTTGTCCTCCCTGCCCTCTCTGAGAATCAGGTCAGCTATAATTCAAAGCCCTCTCACATTCATGGAAACAACAAAGGCTTGTGGAGACTCCTGGGCTTGGTGAGCTTTGGCTATGACCAAGGGGACTGTGATCCTGAACTCTACACAGTTTACACACATGTAGCAAATTTCATAGACTGGATTCAGAGTACTATGAAATAAAATAAAAAATACACAACAGTCTTTCTTTGTGCTTTTTCAGAGCATTCATTCCATTGTCTAATGCACAAGGGTATTTTCCAATTTAACACAAGCACAACACTGGACAATAACACACTTTAACTGGAGGGGGCGTTAGCGCATTAGCTAAGCAGAGCAATCAATCTTATATCTGAAGAATTCATTTTTTTTTGGTGCCTCAGCATGAGGTTAAAGACTTGAAAATGTCCAGAAAACTTTTCAGCTGAGCGTTCGAGCTGATGATAATTTAGATTGTACTCAGTGTTATGTTGTTTTGTTTCAATGATTTGAATTATATCAGTTCATACAGTGCTAAAGATGTACATAGTGTATCAAAAGCCATAAAATATGAACATTTCTATCAAAATAATTGGTGTGTTAAAGTTTACCTGAGATTTTTCTTCCCGAAACTATTTAACTTATTATATGTATGAACATGTCAAATCTGTTTAGCTAAATATGTGAAGAATTTATTCAACACACCTTGCCTTTGTGCTGGCAACATTTGGTTACAAAGCAAATAAATCCCAAACAGAACAGCACAGAGCACGTTTACGAATCATTTTCCTCCTCAGCCTCAAAATCAACAAGTTTTGACTTAATTTCCTCCAACTCTGAGGTAAGTTCACATGTCTGCTGCTTCTATTGACATTGAAAAGGGTGAACACAAAATACAGTTCTTTTCTGAGTCCTAGAAAATTTCAGAACATTTCAGTTTAATAATAAAAACAAATCAGTTATGACATTTGGTAGAAAGGAGGCAGTGAGAATAAATACAGAAGTCACTGGAGCAAAAACTAAAATAAGTGTTCAAGAACGTGTAACTTAGTATATGTAAAGAAAATTCTGAAATAAAGGACTGAGTTCGAAAGCCTGTTTTTTTTTTAATCATAAAGTAGAATTTAAAGAAATGGTTCAGATTATTTGATGTGGGGTTCTGTGGAGTAGTAGTGATAATACTTTAACTTCTTTCTACTACTGTTGAAGTACTATCACTACCACTCAAACTAATGGCTCATCTGTCTGTTTAATCAGCTGAGTCTTGTCCTTCTGATAATAATATCACACATTTACACAATGATACAACCAGTGGCACAAACATAGCTAATTTTGCATAATAACGTGAATGCTAGTCAGATGCAAAAACAGCAACAAACTAAGCAAAAAGTTCTCACACAAAAACGTGGAGATTTAAAATCAGATATTGTAACATTAGCTTGTATCTGGCGTGATATTTTGGAGTATGAGTTGTCATGCATGAGTAAAAAAACACTATAAAGGTTTCATTGCTAGCTGCTAGTCTTACTTTTGTATGATTATTTTTGTATCTAAATCATATAAAAGTTCCATCTACTACAAGTAAGATGTTCACTTCTTATTACAGCTTCACAGAACTCACCTCAAGTACCTATCCCTTTTAAATTTTTAGGTTTGTTTTGACTGAAGTGATGTAATTCTTACCTCTATAGCTGCTGGCTGAGAACAGGCAAACCACGTTTACAACTAATGGCTGATTCATTTTAATACAAAACAAAATATATCTTTTTATTTAAACCTTTATTCTACCAGGAAAGAAATCCATTGAGGTTATTAATCTCCTTTACAAGGCTGTCAATGTGCAAGGTGCAAACAAGTCATTACTATTACAGCAAAAGGCTTAATTCAACCTTTATTTATACAGGTTAATCCCACTGAGCCTTGGGGATTCATTTACAAGAAAGACCAAATAATACAGTAACAGTAATATTAAAATATTTACAACAACATATCTGATAATAAGACATAAAATACAATGCAAGTTTAAAAAAAATCACAATTTGAGATAAACATTACATGTGTAAGATGTGACTAAAACCTCTGACAGTTTTTGTTTAAAACTAGATAAAGGAATAAAAGACTCCAACCTCATCTTAAGCTGCAGATCATTCCAAGACCATGGGCTGAAAAAAGACAAAGTCATCTTTCCTGACTCTGTGCAAACAAAGGGTACCTGAAACTGCAGCAGGCTACTGGCCCTGAGACTGTCTGTTCTGCAGTGAAATGAACTTAGATATTTGATTGTAATTTTCCTAAAATGTGTATATGAAAATAGACAAATGCTTTATCCTTCCAATTATGAGTGAAGTAAGTCCAGCAAGGGTATATAAAGTACAATGGTGAGTCTTAAAGGGTGAACCTGTTCAGAGCAGCATGATAAAATGGGCTCCAGTTTAGCTAAGGTAGTGGGGGAGCCATATCTATAGATTGTGTCTCCATAGCTCAGCCATGATGAAAACAAACTTTTTACAAGCCACTCATGGAAAGAAATAGAAAATCATAATTTCAGTCTATACAAACACCCAGTAAATTTTAGTTATTTTATTAGATATGTAATATCCATCCATCCATCCATCCATTATATTCCGCTTATTCCAAAGTCAGGTCGCAGCGGCAGCAGCTTGAGCAGGGAGGCCCAGACATCTCTTTCCACAGCCACCTCTTCTGTGAGGATTCCAAGGCATTCCCAGGCCAACCGAGAGACTACGTCTCTCCAGTGTGTCCTGGGTCTTCCCCGGGGTCTCCTCCCAGTTGGACATGCCCGAAGCACCTCCTTAGGGAGGCGCCCATGGAGCATCCTTACCAGATGCCCGAATCACCTCAGCTGGGTCCTCTTGGTGTGGAGGAGCAATGATTGTACTCTGAGTCTCTCCCAGATAACTGAACTTCTCACCCTATCTCTAAGGGAGAGTCCAGCTACCCTGCAGAGGAAACTCATTTCAACCTCCTGTATCCACAATCTCATTCTTTCAGTCACAGCCCAGAGTTTGTAACCAAAGGTGAGGGTAGGAACGTATACTGACCGGTAAACAGAGAGCTTTGTCTTACAGCTCAGCTCTCCCTTCACCACAATGGACAAGTACAGAGTTCGCAATACAGCAGATGCTGCACCAATCCGTCTGTCAATCTCATGCTCCATTCTTCCCTCACTCATGAACAAAACCCAGAGATACTTGAACTCCTCCATTTGAGGCAGAACCTCACCCCCGACCCGAAGAGAACAAGCCACCCTTTTCCGGTTGAGGACCATGGCCTCAGATTTGGAGGTGCTGATTCTCATGCCATCCACTTCACACTCGGCTGCGAACCGCCCCTGTAAGAGCTGAAGATCACGGCACGATGACGCCAACAGGACCACATCATCTGCAAAGAGCAGAGACGGAATCCTGAGGCCACTGAACCGGAAACACTCCACCCCCTGTCTGCACCAAGAAATTACGTGCATAAAAGTTCTAAACAGAATCAGTGACAATGGGCAGCCCTGGCGGAGTCCAACTCCCACCCTGAAGGAGTCTGACTTACTACCGGCAATGAGAACCAAACTCTCGCACCGCTTGTATAGGGAATGAACACTCCGTAACAACGGGCCCCCAATCCCATACTCACAGAGCCCCCCCACAGTGTACCTGGAGGAACGCGGACGAATGCCTTTTCCAAGTCCACAAAACACATGCAAACTGGATGGGCAAACTCCCATGACCTCTCAAGGACCCTAGTGAGGGTAAAGAGCTGATCCAGTGTTTTTATTAGATATGTAATATACATGATGCCTAAAATTAAGATCTTTATCCAGCCAAATACCAATATATTTATATGTGTCTACGTTCTCTATGTCACCATTCAGTGTTTTATAGAAAGAAGTACATTAATTACAGTATGTAGGAACACGACAATCATTTAGGAAATACTTCCATGTTTAAGACCGCTTTTAAGGTTTCCCTTATGTCATGATTTATCAAAGACGTTTTGTCTTCTTTGTCTCTTCTTTAAGTCAAAGTTGAACTTACCACAGTCCTGTGCTTCCCAGAGGACAGTCCTGTCTGCTCGGGCTGGGAGACTGTCTGTTCACAGGCCCCTGTAAGCTCACAGGGCATCTTCAATAAAGAGACATGCAGCTCTCAACCAAAGGCTCACTGTCTTTGTAAAAGAAGTACAATCCTGAGTACAGACCAGGATAATGGTGAGAAAATACCATGAGAGCGTAGTTAACAGTGGAGAGGCAGTGGGTTCAGAATACTTAACACAAGACGTACATGAAATGTTTAGGTCTGCATCCGGACTCTCAGCTGAGCTGCTGGGCCTCAGCGTGAACACAAAGGATCTGCACACATGCTGATTATTAGTATTCTGGTCTGACCTGAAAAATAGGACTACATCTGTTATGTCAGGAAATCTCCTGCAACCATTTAACTGAAAAGTTGGTGTGTGAGCTGAGAAAGAAAAATACAAATGTTGAAAAACTCAACTTAAAAATAGCACTAAGAAAACAAATAAAATATTATAAATAGAATTCCTAATTTTATGTTAAAAAAAAGTTTATTTATTTATTTATTTGAAGCCAGTAACATATTTTAAAAGATGTGGTTGTGGTAGCTTGATGATCAGTGCCTCAGTCTTGTAAGGCTTCAGGTTCAAGTTCAGGTTTTGTCTGGATTTTGTCATGAAACAAACAAACAAGCTTGCTCGCTGTGGCAACACCTGCAGAAGGGAGCAGATAAAGATAACACATATTTCCAAAAGATATGAGCATAAGTAACATCCCTTTGACTTTTAACAATACATCTAGAAAGATTGTCCCTTCACTTTTAAAAATATTACTGCTTTAACTGTTCATTCTTTAATCATTTTTATATTTTCAGTAATAGGGCATTTTGTTTCAGCTCTGACTGAAAGCAGTTTAACTTTCTGGCTCTTTCTATAAAACGATGAAGCTGATATACATGCAGCATATGTTGCAGCACTGTTCTACTAAAACAGGGAAGAGCATCACTGATGAAGACATCTGACTGGCAGTTAAACTTATTTATTGCTGAGCGATAATGGTGCCCATAAAGATGTGCAAGTTACCTAAGCAGCGTGTATAAGTGCATCTTCAAATCTTCTTGAAGATTATTTTAAATGGTGATGGAAACAGCATAATTTCAGATCATGATTTGTAAAAAAAT